ACTGCTCCAAAAACGGCATTTAAAATAGCAGCTAGAGAGCTCCACTGTTCATTAAGACTTCGCGCACCATGATCTAACACAAATTTGTCATGAGCGAAATCTTTATGCTCTTCCATATGCTGGACGCTGGTCTTATTTCTGCTCCTTGCTTATTCGTTTTGACTTTAAATCTACGAACTCCATCATAAATATCTAAAAATTAAATAATAAATAAAGTATATTAAATCTTATATGTATTAATATGTATATAATTATTCATTTTGTTCACTGTTTCACTTGGAATTCATTTGTTTTTGGTACAAAAATGAAAATATGAAAAATAAAATACATTTGTTTACATTTGCTAAACACCAAACGCACTCTCACTATATTACTGCCACAATATTTTTGTAATATTAATTTTTTTTTTCTTTTTACTTTAAATGCAAAATTTATTTCTATCACAATTACTTAATTAATAAATAAATATGAATATTACACTAAATACGTACAAAATAATTGCTCAATTTGTTTAAAAAATAATATTTTCACTTTAAGCGACACCAAAAACCTAGTCGCCAAAAACAATCAAATTAGGAGAAATTTTAGTAGTTTTTAACGAAATTTAGCGATTGCCAATTTAGCAGAATATGAAATTTGGAGATTTAGCGATTTGTCCGGAAAAATCAGCTGTTTTTGAAAGTTGAGAAAATTAGCGAATAGAAATTAAGCGTAACGAGTTAGCAGAATCGCAGAAATCGCTAAAATGCATTTAAAGAATTTTAGCGATGGAGTTTTAGCGATAGCGATTAGTGGAATCGGCCTGCTGGTATTTAGTCAATGGTTCAATATCAACCACTATAGAAAACAATTCAGTGCTATTTTTTATGCTAAATTGGATGTTAATAAGACGTTTAACAGCAGATTTTTCGAAAGTTTGTTTTAAATTTTTATTATGTCTCTATGTAAATATATATATGAGAAAAATAAAGCGTACTACAACCAACTAGGTTTTCCATATAAAAACCTTAAACTTGTTAAAGTTGAAATTAATATCAAATGGCATACAAAAATCAAGTTAATAATTTTGCTAGATTGTTCTAATGTAATAAAAAAAACTAAACATTTTAAAATAGCTATCCATTTAAAAAAACATTAAAAAATCCAAATTAATTTTCCATGTAAAATACATAAAAAGATGCCATAGGATGAAATTAACGTTTAGATGAATTTCTTTGTGTATAATATTCTTTGTAAACACTCTGTTATCATAAAATAAAGTTTCTTGACCATTGCCATTAGATATATATAATTTTAATCCGCTAAATAAACGAACTCTTCTAATCGTCTCACCAAAACACCTACCGCATCAAATGTTTGCCCTTGGGATTTTTTGATGGAAATAGCAAATAGGGGTATGATTGGAAACTGTGTTCGCTGAATTTGATATGGGAGAATTAATCCATAATATGTATGTTAAATGTATTCATAGAATCAAGTTTCTTTTATTTCTCATTACTGCAGTTAATACTTTACAATAGCTGCGTTTCAGCAAACATGATCCGTTCAATTTTACATGCAAAACAAAAACAATGGGGTGAACCAGCAATTGATCTGGTTCACTTTCTGGTTCAATGTGGAATGTATGTAAAACATAAAAGTGGAACGTATTTTAATGCAAATGAGGTTGGCAATGCGATGCAACGGTGTAGTAAAATTATAAACAAATCTAAATCTATAATTTATGAAAATCAATTAATTTGAAATGAATATATAAACATTAAGTTGAATACATTTATTTAATTAAAACAGAATAATACATAAGGAAACAGGCTATCCAACATACACGTTTATAAAAAAACCATTGCAAACTGCTTGCAAGTTTAAGCTATATTCATGCTTCCTTTTGAAATAAACCTAATTGCTTTGGTGAGGTGCATTTATTTTAACATGTGTGCTGTCAATCACGAACGGAAATTTTGCAATTGATATACTCTAAACACTAGTTCTTTTAATTATTCTCCATACAGACGCTTTTGGTATGCCAAAACAAATACCAATTTCGCGAAAAGTATTTATATTTGCCATATACCATAAAAATATGTAAATTTCCTTCATTGCTCTCGTTCAATTGTGACCACCACGGTTATTTTGTATTTGCTGATTGGATTTTATTAACAAATCTATTAAAATATGAAACATAATTAATATATAGCAATTGTATATTTTATGCACAAATACCAATCAAATAATCTTTAACGGAACAATTATTGATCGTTTCCATAAAATTTCCACTATATCCATATTGATGCACTTCATCCCTTGAGCTTAATACACTTGGACTAGTGTTTAAAAAGAAAATGGAGGAGTCAGTTTTGCTCGATAATTCTAATAAAATCTGCAATTTCCATTTATTTACTATAGAATTAAATTTAAGTTTTTAAGTAAATACTAAATAAAAACTTACATTTCATACTTCAGACATTTCAACAGATTTTATTTATTTTCCAAGTTTTAGATTTTTTGTATTCAAAATTTTCTCACTTATTTTTTTAGCGCCAAAATTATTCACATAAATCAAAAAATTTTGTGCACAAACCCAACTGGCATATTTCATGCGTTGCCAATTATTTTCAAACGTGATCCGTATCGTTTCAGCAAAGATGATCCAGATCATTGAGCGGATCATGTTTGCTGAAACGCAGCTGTTGTCTGTTAATGGACAGAGTGGCCGTGAATTAAGACAACATTCGATTTGAATTAAGACCGTACTCAATTCCTCGTATGTCAATTTTTGGTCACCTATAATTCTAGCTAGATGATATTTAATGGATTTTACTCCCGATTCCCAGAGACCACCAAAGTGAGGTGAGCCAGGAGGGATGAAATGCCAACGTATACCTGTTTCAGCTAGATGATTCTGTATTTGAATCTTCTGTAAAGTGTTGTTTGCACCTGTAAAATTGGTACCATTGTCGCTATAAATATGATGTACTGAGCCACGTCTGCTTATCATTCGTTTGAGTACTGCTAAAAATCCTTGAGATGTCAGATCTGAAGTAAACTCAATGTGAATTGCCTTTGTTGCCAGACATACAATAATAGCTATATACGCCTTATGTGTTTTAATTCCCCAGAATTGAGAGCATTTATTGTGCAATGGTCCTGCATAGTCTATGCCGCAGTGTGTAAATCGCCTTGAGAAATTTACTCTTGGTGTTGGTAAACTTCTCATTAATTGAGATTGTCCATTTGCCTTCATCGGGAAACACTTTACACATTTATTGATGCAAGCTTTCACAGCGATTGTTCCACGAATAATCCAAAATTTATGCCGGACGTAGTTTAGCGTCAATTTTAATCTTCCATGAATCGTATTAATATGCGCCTGATTGATTATGAGTTTAGCCAAAGTACTTGATGTATGTAAAATTATTGGATACTTTTGGTTGTCAGATAAATCTGCATTTCTTAATCTGCTGCCCACTCTTAGTACTCCTGCACTGTCAACAAATGGGTTTAATGAACACAACTTATTACTTTTCATTAATTGTTTCTGAAGATTAAGCTGTCTGATGTCATCTGAAAAACATTTTTGTGCCTGATTCACCAACACAATTTTTGCTGCATCGATATCGTCTGCCGACAGATTGTCGATCTTTCTTTCGGATTTTTTTTTATGACAATTATAAACGAATCTAAGACAATAAGCTGTCACTCGAAGAAGTTTGTTTAATGAAGAAAATCGATTAATAATATTTTCATCTTTGGTAACGTCCACGACGGTACATATTGCAGATTTTCTGGTTTCCGGAATAAGATTCAAATCTATTACTTCATCATTTTCTGGCCAATTTCCTTCATCTTTTATTAGCCAATTTGGACCATGCCACCATAATATATTTGAAATAAGATTGTCACCATATACTCCCCTTGATGGAATATCTGCTGGATTATCTTTTCCTGGAACAAATCTAAATTGCCCTTTAAACGTATCCTGAATATACGATACTCTGTTTGCTACAAACGTAGTCCATCTATTTGGGTATTGCCTTAGCCAATTTAATACAATTTTTGAATCTGACCATGCAATAACTTTACTATAGGTAATCTTGTTATTCTTCTGAATGTAATTAATCAACTTTATCAATAGCACAGCTGCGCATAACTCCAATCGGGCTAATGATACCTGCTTAATAGGCGCAACTTTGGTTTTTGATGCTACTAGGGATATTGTAACCTTTTCTGCATTCATAACCTTTGTATATACAACTGCAGCATATCCTGCTTCTGACGCATCTGCAAATCCATGTAACTCGATTAAACTATTCTCTGAATGTTGTGTCCATCTTTTCATGGTTATTTTCTGAACTGCAGGTAATCTCAATTTAAATTCTTCCCATTGTGCCTGTAGATTGGGTGGGATCTCTGTATCCCAACTAATTCCTAGCATCCACAATTTTTGTATCATAATTTTTGCTTTAATGGTTACAGGTGACAACCAACCAAATGGATCGAATAGTTTTCCAGCATCACTTAGAATTGCTCTTTTTGTGTATTTTGAGCTGAATGACGTGGTATTTATTTTAAATTCAAATTGATCCAATTTAGGACACCATTTTATTCCTAAAATTTTAATCGCTTGGTCGTTGTTAAATTGCATCTCTAACCCTGGTTCAATGTCTTTTATCTGGATATTCGTCAACATTTCCGGTTCGTTTGATGCCCATTTTCTTAAGTTAAAACCTCCCTTCCGCAATAATTGGATTAATTCTTCTTGTACTTGTTTACACTCTTTAATCGTATTAGCGCCTCCCAAACAATCGTCTACATAAAATTTTTCATTTAAGGTTTCACTTGCCAAAGGATAATTAATTCTTTCGTCTTCTGCTAGGTTAAACAACGTCTTGATGGCAACATATGGTCCTGATGCAGTAGCGTATGTAATCGTGTTCAATCTATATTCTTTTACTGATTTTTTCCGATTGTTTCTCCATAAAATTCGTTGAAGATCTCTATCATCATGATGAATCAGTATTTGCCTTTTGTAACGTAGGGCTTGTCATCATAATACTGTTCAGTGATTGCCCTGATGTCGTTTTTGCGGACGCATCAAAAACCACTCGAAGTTTTGTTGTCGTGCTGTCTTCTTTAATAACTGCATGATGCGGCAAATAATATACCTTTGTCTTTGGTTTCTCATTAACTTCCTTCATATGACCCAGCTTGATATACTCTTGCATAAAGTTCACATACTCTTGCTTTAGTGCTGGATTCTTCTTAAATCGTTCTTTCAATGAAAAGAACCGTTTTAATGCCATCTTTCTGGATTCACCTAACGTTTCTCGATCATTTTTCAGTGGTAACCTAACGATGTATCGTCCTGTTTTATCGCGGGTGCAAGTTGAATCATAATGTCTCTCACAATGCCTTTCTTCTACTGTTCTTAAGTCTGCATTTGAAATTTCCTCTAATTTCCAAAACCGTTTTAAATACTCGTCGCTGTTTTCGCAAGCTACGGAGCATAACATTATTTTGTTTGTGATTGTACGCTCTACATCTAAAGGTCCTGATAATATCCATCCAAATAATGTGTTTTGAGCCATTGGAGAGTTGTCTGGCCCTTTAATTAATCCTTCTTTAAACACTTCTGGTAACACGTCCGACCCGATTAACAATTGTATTTCCTTTGGTTCAGCATACCAAGGATCTGCTAACTGCAATCCATCAATATGCGACCATTTTCCTGGCGTGAATTCTGCATTTGGCATTTTTGATGTGATTTTTGGTAACACTGTTGCTTCGATATGACAGCTCTTATTTTCATCATGTATAGATTGAATTTCTAATGAGCATTTGGCTATAACGCTTGTTGTTTGTCCATTGATACCTTTTACATGAGTTTGATAATTGGTCAATGGTGCTTTAATTGATCTTGCTAATTGTTCTGTTATTATACAAGATTGTGATCCTTGATCAAGAAGTGCTCGTATCGGATTAACTTGTTTTTTAGTCCTTATAATTACCATTGCTGTTGCTAGTAAAACAGTTTTTTCCTTTTGGATGTTGTACGACGCTGCCACTTCGGTCTCTGTGGTGTTCTTCAATGTTGGCATCCTCTGTTTACTTATGTTATTTGTGAATGTTGGTTTGCCCTTAACTTGTTCATGAATAAGTTGATGGTGTTTTTTGTCGCAAATTGCACATCTTTTTTTATTCAAGCACAACTTACTAAAATGCCCACTCTGAAGGCAATTAAAACATAATTTGGCGCTCATAATCTTTTCACGACGTTCCGGCACCTTCATATTCAGAAACTTTGAACATCGAATTAATTGGTGGTCACCATTACACACTAAACATAGCGTATGTATTGTATTTACATGCGTTTTTGTATTTACTGGTGTTGGTCGAAAATTATTCTTATTTTCGCGATTTGTGTCTCGAATTGCCTCCAATCCTCTAACTCTGCTCCCGATAAACTCGTATAAGCTGCTCAATTTTGGTATTTGTGTTGATGCCCCTCTTGAATGTTGGTATAATTTTCTGGTTTCACCATCTAATTTTGGAAGCAGTATCTGTATAATTAGTGTCCACATTTAAATTACGTATACCATATAACACTTCTCTAGAAGAATCCACTACTGTTTTTAAATCCTGTGCATTCTCGTTTCTTATAGCTCTGAGCGACAATAACTTATTGATAAGATTGTCCACAAGTATTGCTGGATTGTTGTATCTTTGTTTCAGTAGTTCAACTGCCGCTGTATAATTGTTCGCTGTTATTGTTAAATGATTGATAAGTCTGGCGGCTTCTCCCCGTAGACTTCCTTTTAAGTACTGCATTCTTTCTACATCCACTAGATTATGGTTTTGTTGAACTAACCGGTCGAACAATTCCCAAAATGGACACCACTCTTCAAATCTGCCATTGAATATTGGGACATTCAACGGTGGTAGTTTGATATTGTTACTTACGGTTGTTCTAGTTTCTGAAACGTTTTGACTGCGAACGTTCAGTTCTTCTTGTAACTGGATATATACTTCTTCGTATATCGATTCCAGTTGAATGAAATCTCCTTGGTCTATTTCATCATTGTTAAACAGACATTCATCGTTTAATTGTGAGATCTTTGCCCAACAATTCTTCAATTTTTCCAATTTGAACTGTAACGTTTCAATACTTTTCGTTAAGTCTATTGTCTCTTTGATCTGCAACAGACTTGTACTTAAGATTGCTAAACGTTTGTTCGTAATATCACATGGCCCGGTGATGGCGACTTCGTCATTGATACTTATGTCTTGATTCCTTGGTGACCGAGCTTCTTCTTGCCCTCTTATAACTTGATGCCTTGAAACTTGAGATTCCCTTTGCTCCATTTGCCTTATTATTTCCAATTCATTATTAAATCGATTTTCGATTTCATTCCGTCTTTGTTGTAACTGGCCATAGTAATTTTTTGTGATATATCATTGTTGTCTTCAAATGCGTTCCATTTCTGACGCAAATTTTCCAAACGAGTCTCAAAATACTGCTTTGAATATCTTGTAGAAGAATCCTTTTTAAAATTTATCCAGATCCTCTGGATCTCACCTTCAATGTCCTTTTGATGTTGGATAACTTAATCTATCTCTTCGATCTCCATGATGTCCTCTGTTAGTATTTGATTTGATTTGTTAAGCGCCTCGGTACACTTCTGCTTGTTTCACTTCGGTGGTACGTTTGCTTTCACTTCACTCCGATGTTAAAAGCCTCGGTACGCTTGTATTAACTTCACTCCGATGTTAAAAGCCTCGGTACGCTTGTATTAACTTCACTCCGATGTTTAAAGCCTCGGTACTCTTTTATTAACTTCAATCTTAGACTTAAGTCTCTTTGTTAGGTATATTTGAAACTCTTACCACTGGTGGGGGAAACTTTAAATATCCGGCTCGAAGGACCAAAAATGAACAAGAATGTTCATTAACAATCTTTATGTCCCTTACCACTGGTGGGGGGAAACAATAAAAGATTGGTGAGACGTTGATTTACTTTCAACAACTGATTTTATTTAAATTGATTTGTTCTTTTATACAAAATAAAATGCAACCGTAATTGCAAAACATACAATAAATAAAATAACTTATTACTTAATTCGCACAAATTGCTTAATAAGCAATAGTAATATAATAATAATAATAATTTTTACTTTTTGTTGATTCGTCAACCAAGAAATTAAGCAACAGGTGTGAGCGATTAACTCATGATCTAGTTCTTAATTTTTTGTTAATTCGTCAACAACAAAAATTTATTTTATTAATAGGATCAGCTTAATTTTTTATCTTTAATTACAAGTTAAAGTTAACCAAATTCTCAAAATAAATTGTTTTAATTATATATATTTTGGCAACAAACATATTTTTTGTGTAGCCCGTGCATATTATCTCTTTTAAGTTGGCGCAAAACTTATCAAACAATTGATTTAAGACCACTTACTGAATTTGCATTTTCGTACAAATTAGGGATGAAATTTACAAAAACCAACATTTTAAGTTAAAATACAAATAACGGAGACACATTTTTAATTTTCAGTTTAAATTATAAATACTTGACAACATACGTCACGATCTCAACGGGCCTATTTACACTATTAGCTCAGTATACACTATCATGAACTCTCATGAGCGTGAAATTTGTTTTGTTTTGTGTGAACGTATAAAATGCTTGTGTGTATTAGTGCAGAGCACAGAAATTGAGAGTATTCAGCATTAAAGGGTAAACATAAACATAACATTGCATATGTATGCGTGTTAAGCAATTTTCATATGTTATCTCAGCAAATTTCATTGCGTGAAATTCATGAACTCACATCACACCTCTAACATCACACCAGTTCAAAATCTAATCATGTAGACTTTACTAACAAAAGAGAAAATCAAATTTCATTATTTCTAAATAGCGTAAAAATTCCAGTTGCAAATTCTGCGAAATATCTAGGTATGACTCTAGATGCCAAACTGAGATGGAAGGTACACGTCAAGAAAAAATTAAATGAGCTAAAAATAAGATACAAAAAGTTAACTTGGCTTATTGGAAGGAGATCTAAATTATCTCAGCAAAATAAGCTTATGATCTATAAACAAGTCTTCAAGCCGGTCTGGCTCTATGGCGTCCAAATCTGGGGTTGTGCGAAGAAACATATAATAGATATGATGCAAAGATTTCAAAACAAAGCAATCAGAGATGCAGTTAACGCTCCGTGGTACGTGCGAAATTCTGATCTACATCGAGACCTAAAAATACCTACTGTCAAACAAGAAATTCAGAAGGCTGCTAAAAAACATTATGACAGGCTGAGACAACACTTAAACAGCACCATTCCAGCGCTACTTTGTGATGTCACTCACAGACGCTTATGCCGCTTCAAACCTAATGACCTTTTGAGGCGTTTCAACCAGCAAGGAGATGACTAGTTCGTATCTATATGCTCACCCTAGATAGACTTAGATAAATTTACTTGCAATAAAAAAAAAACCTCTTGTTAGTCAATATGACTAGTTGTTGTAAATTTAAACTCTTCATTTTGTTTAAATATAAATAAAAAAAAAAAAAAAAAAAAAAAAAAAAACATCACACCCTCTTCCCTCCCTCATCTATCCGTACCGATTTTCTACTTCATGTTCATGTTTTTTTTTGCTTTTGGAATTGAACCTGGGGGAAAAATCTTCTAAAGATACAAATAGCCCGTACCATTTGCATGCCCGATTCATGCACGACGCAATTGAGTCATACATGCCTACGGACTAATAAGTTCCCTACATTCTCAGCTCAAAGTCCTGGAAATCCCTGCAGTACGACCAATTAAGGTATAACTTCACAGAGCAGGTTAGAAGAGTACTTAGCGTGCTTTCACTCCGATTGTGTACTAAGTATTTCCTCCACTCTAACAGTGTTTATTCTTCTAGATATTATGCTCTTGTTGAGGCTCCACTCTTCAGTGCCTGCCAACTTCTGCATTACTACATTAGGAGATTTTGTCTAGTATCTACGAATCTAATACGGTCTCTAATTATATGGTCGGGCTCTCCATTTTATCTGGACAAAACTGGCAGTACGGATTACCTGCAAGCCTGAACCGGTAAAAGTATTCACGAAAGCAGCCATGCCCCGTAAGAAACTGCGTTAATTGAAATCCCAGGTCTTCAGATCCTCGGTTAATCCAAACTTTTATATTTGGAATTAATGAATACGTCCATCTTGATTTTTGGGAAGTTCATGTTCATGTTACGTTCATGATAGTGTAAATAGGACCAACGAATGCAAATATCAATCCTTTCAAAATTAGCAGCAAAATAATATTCACTATTTCAAACAAAATTGTGAAATCCAAGTAACTATTTTACATCCTTGGGTGCAAACGCAAAAATAGAAACGCACATTTGGTAGCAATGCTACAAATAGAATTTTAGACACTCGTGTGCGAAAATAATTTTATATCGCACAGTGCAGTGCGAGCATAAAAATTCTTACAAATTTGATTGTCAACATTTTTAAAAGTCAATCGCACACTTCAAATTTGTGTGCACATGGTTGTGTGCACAATCATCGCTTGGTGCAATGTTAAAAATAAAGCCGCATCTAAAATGTGTGTGCGCAGATTCGCTTACTTAACACCACAAATGTGAGTGTGCACATATAAAATATTAAATTCACTCGCACAGTGCAGTGTTCAATTTTGTGCACCACATTCCGAACTCTGGGCTCCCTGTTATGTTATATAGTATGTAAGAACCGTCAGTAGCGCAACCATAGTTATTGTTAGTGTAAATGCTATTAATATTTTTGGTATAGAAGATATTGTTGCGCCTTATGCAGTTATTACACATCAAGCATTTTTCTTAAAAATTTTTGTCGTCGTTTAAATGCATGCATGATTTTGTTTTGTAGTATATTTGTTGTTTTTTTCTGGGGCATGTTCAAGCTACTGTCGACTAATTTGATGTATAATAGCAAGCAACGGCAAATATTCTTGATAAAAGTTCTTGATGTATAATACGCGCTTAATACGCGCTTTATAGTAACAACTATAAGTGGATAATCTCACTTCATTTTAATAGATGGAGAGAGTTGAGCACT